ACAACCCAAGATAGAGGTGATAACCAGTCTAGTGATAAAAGACAACCCAAGATAGTGGTGATAACCAGTCTAGTGATAATGGCAACCCAAGATAGTGGTGATAATCAGTCTAGTGATAATGACAACCGAAGATAGCAGTGATTATGACAACCCAAGATAGCGGTGATAACCAGTCTAGTGATAATGACAACCCAAGATAGAGGTGATAACCAGTCTAGTGATAAAAGACAACCCAAGATAGTGGTGATAACCAGTCTAGTGATAATGGCAACCCAAGATAGTGGTGATAATTTCAAACTAATATTAATCAAGTTACAACAATGGAGTACCGGTGGCACGTGAAAGACCTAGAGTTCATGATGTCTGCACCAGATGACAACTCAATCGTGGAGTAAGGACAAGAGGTGGTGGATGTGAGTCTGCTAGACCAGTTCATTACAGAAAAGCAGCCATTGCTCCAGCACCAGCCAGAACAGTTGGAATTGTGAAATTGGTCAAATGTTGTACAAGACCCACCTAATTTCACTTTCAATGAAAACTCCAGTCTTAGAATTCATTTACAAGATGGTTCACCTTGTGATCATTTTGACCTATACTCTTTAATTACTTGATATTATGGCCACAGAAACAAACCAATATGCAGAAGCCAAAATAACCAAACATCGACCATTGTGAAAAGAATCACGACTAAAATACTGGAAAGACACTGATGTAACAGAAATGAAAAAGTTTCTAGCCTTGTTGATTCACATGGGTCCAAACAGCTTACTTATCTTGGAGAACTACTGGAGTACTGATATTCTGTACAAGACATCACTTTACAGTGGTATTATGAGCCACAACTGCTTTCAAATGCTCTTATGTTTTTGGCATTTTGCAGACAATTCCCAAACCCAAGATGATTGTTTGTATAAGACACAACCTCTTCTGGATCACTTCAATAATGAAATGGTTCACATTTACTACCCAAGAAAAGATTTGTGTCCATGGTAATTTGGTGTGGCAAGATCTTGTTTTGACAATATATCGAAATAAATGTCACAAATGAGAAATCAAACTCTATAAATCACGCGGTCTGGTGCTGAAAATTCGTGTATATACTCTGGAACTTCCCCTGATGAAGGTACTTGATCTAATGGCTGATAACCTGAACAAAGGACATGTTTTATACACAGATAATTATCACAATTCTGTGGGTCTGGTGAAAAACTGGTTGAACGATCAACCTACAGATATCGAACACTCCAGTTTGATCATAAAGAAAATCCAATAGATATGGTCATGAAAAATGTAGAAGAAGCGTGAATATGAATGGAAGCAGTCAGAATCAGTGTTAGTTTGTAAATGGAAGAATAAATGGGATGTACTCAGAAATAGCAAGAGGCTCAGAGTGGAGATAGTTGATGTTCCAAATCGAAATAATAAAATATCGAACAAACCCAATATCATCCATGACTACAACAATGGTATGTCAATGATAGAAAGATTTGACCAAATACTGTCATATTACTCGGCTCTATGAAAGACTAAACAATGGTATAAGAGGATTGCCTTTCACACCATAGAAATATTTATTCTGAATGCCCACATCCTGTAGAGTGAAAATAGAGGACAACAAATGGTGGATCTTCAAGGCCAGGGTCGACATACAACTCCAAATCCATAAGATAAATCGTTTTACTACCTCACATGTTTGCTACTCACAGAAAAAAAGGAGAAGCCAAACCAACCATGCTGTGCCTGCACAAAGGCTGGGAGGATATAAGATAGCCACTACATGCGTGATGTCTGCCCTGAAAAACCAGCTCTCTATGTAGAAAACCGTTTCAAGCAATACCACATCCTTCAATAATGGACAGATAAACAAGAAGCCATAGAAACATTTGTAATCATTTACTGGATATTATTATATTTTTGTCATTTGGTTACGATATGAGAACTTATTAGTTCCTGTAACACTAAAAGAATAAAATCAAATATTTTTAAAATGTTTATTGAATATCAATTGATTATCGATTCAAAAATGATCAAACAATGCCTTGGATCATGTAGAATAACCCTATTTGAGTTATAATAATTTATTTTTGCATTGTAACCATCTTTTCTTTAGTCTTAGTTGTGTTAAAGTGAGCTTTGTGGAGATATGGTGTTTAAGTATCTTACTGAATTTCAGTTGTGCAAAAAATGATATAATACATATTTGATCATGATTATTACATGGATTTATGTTCTCCAAACTGCCAGCAGATTGTTTGTTGAATTATCTGGGATACTAAAAGTATTCTGTTTACTATACAATAGTGTAATCTTTTCTACAAGTATACTCGTAGTTGGCAGTCAACATGTTAAGATTATGACAGTCATCTTACTAGAGATCAGCATAGAGGGTGCATTGATGTAGGTGGAGACTGTGACAAGACAAATATTGCCAAGGGCAATTGTAAGAAACTTTATAACTGAACAGTTTTATTTCCTAGTTTTTTATGTATAAACAGTAAGTATTGATTAGAACCAGTTTATTTATATTAATATTTCAACATGTACTGAGAATGTCCTGCTATAATTGATTTCTTAACACTTACAAACCTCTGTATTTATGGGTCATGAATTACCTCAAACTACCATCTCAGTTTTCCATACTGATTAAAGTACATATACAGTTTATAATCAGATGGCTCTGTCATAAACTTAATAAAATATTGATAAACATTTGTATTTTGCCTAAAGTTTGGTATTTGTAGATATGTAACTTGCACATAGATCTTTTGAATAGATTTTGTGGTATTAAACCATTAAAATAAAAAAAAGATAAGATATTCTTAAAATGTATGAAGGAAATTAGTGGTTAAAAGTAAAGTTGGTTCTGATACTCTGTACCATATTTCCACATTTGAATTTTTCTACTGTAAACCTTTCTATTAAACAAGATCTTGTACTTCCATTTTATATTTTCAAATATAATTTGTTTCTTTACTTTTCAAAAAAGGAAGTAAATGGAGGTATGGCTTATATCAGTCCTTCAAAAACAATGCTAACATGATAGTAGGGATAGCATTTTATGGAAATGCCATTTTCACTACCTTGTTTGCATTGTTTTTGAAGGATAGATATTTGCCATCCCTACATTTACTTTTCTTTAAAGTTTTTTTCATCAATTGATTGCTTGTGTTTTCTTGTTTTTTTAATGCAATGTTTCCATAGACATAGGAATGTTCTTTCCAAAACGTACTTACCTCCACTACAGCTGTTACTCAACTACCAGGGTTTCTTCCTTTCCCCATCTAAGCATTGGTCTGATTTTTTCTCACTTGCTCCAGTCTTTTATACTCCTTTTGGAAAACAGTTTGAACAAACAGTAAATTAAAGATACATCAGAGAATGAACACTTGGGATAAACTGTACATTTGTTTACTGTATTGTAAAGAGTTTGAAACAAACTGTAACTACTACTAAAAGTAGTTATTGTTTAAAGTTCATTGAACCAGATCATTAAGGGGTACAGATCTGTCTTTTGTACATTTTGAATACATTTAGTTGATATGATAAAGTGAGAACAAAAGAAATGAAAAGATAAAATTATATCTGGATGGAGAGAATAGTCATTGTTTCTGTAAAAGGAAATAGAAACCTTACACTTGTGTAATATGTGATAAACAGTTTAAAACAAATAAAGGGTTAAGATATCACAAAGGAACACATACTGTAAGAATCCTAACTGCTGTACAGTTAGTGAAAAATAATTCTGAAGTAACTCTAACTTAAAAATGCATCAAAGAATACACTTTGGAGAGGAACCGTACAGTTTCACAGTTTATAAGTAACTGTAGCTTAAAAAAACATGAACGAATACATACTGGGCTGGAAACTGTTTTCCACAAATTGTACAACTGAAAGGTTTCTCCCCAGTATGTATTCTTTGATGTTGTTTTAGTTCGGCATTTGTTTTAAAGTCTTTTCCACAAACATCACAACAGTAAGGTTTCTCCTCAATATGTCTTCTTTCATGTTGTTTTAATTCATTACTTGTTCAAAACTTCTTTTCACAAACTGCACAACAATAAGGTTTTTCCACAGTGTTTTTTTTGATGTGTCATTAAGTTACAAGTTGATTTAAAATCTTTTCCACAAATTGTACAACAGTAAGGTTTCTCCCCAGTATGTATTCTTTCATGATATTTTACTGTATTACTTGTCCTAAACTGTTTACCACATACTACACAACTGTAGGGTCTCTCCCCAGTATGTATTCTTTCATGTTCTTTTAAGCTAGTGTTACTTCTAAACTGTTTTCCACAAACGTCACAACTGTAAGGTTTCTCTCCAGTATGTATTTTTTTATGATACCTTAATCCACCACTTGTTCTAAACTTTTTATCACATACTACACAACAGTAAGGTTTCTCCCCAGTATGTATTTTTTTATGATATTTTAATGAATAATTTGTTCTAAACTGTTTATGACATACTGCACAAGTGTAAGGTTTCTCCCCAGTATGTGTTTTTTTATGATATTTTAATGCATAATTTGTTCTAAACTGTTTACCACATACTGCACAAATGTAGGGTCTCTCCCCGGTATGTATTCGTTCATGAACTTTCAAGCTAGAGTTAGTTCTAAGTTGTTTTCCACAAATGTTACAACTGTAAAGTTTCTCCCCAGTATGTATTTTTTGATGTATTTTTAAGTCCCAATTTTTTCTAAAGTCTTTTCCACAAGTTGCACAACTATATGGTTTCTCCCCAATATGTGTTTTTTTATGTTTTTTTACATCACTACTAAAATTCAAATGTTCACTACTAACTTCACATCTGTACAGTTTCTTTCCATACGTTATTATCTTGTGTTGTTTTACGTTATCCAATGTTACACTTTCCTTTCCACATGTTACATAACTGTATGGTTTATCATCACCCTCATGTATATTAGTTTGTTTTATGTTACTTCCATTTAAATTTGTTTTTCCACAAACATCACTGTTTAATTTTGAAGATTTCATAACTTCTTTAAATGGATCTTCTTGTTTTAATAGATGATAACCAGGAAAATGGCTTCCACAACAGATGTTCACACTGGTCTTTATATCTAAAATAAAAATATATAATACAACAGATATAACTTTAACCTTCTCACTAAAAGTAGGTCAAAGTGCATATGTCATGACTTTTTTATAGAATTACATTCAACATTTTAACTACTTTGTTATCATTGAATATAAATAAATTTGGCATCAAAACATGACTAATAAATCAAATATTAATTACTTCAGTTTTTATTTCTCTCAGTAAATATTTTTAAAAATCCTCAATCTCTACAAGTATGAGAATTGTGACATTTGTTTTCTAGGTCTTCCCTCTTCTCTAAGTTATTTACCACCTGTCTGAGAAGGACAGAATTTAACATAATTACTCATTATAATTACTAAGGCAAAGTCTAATTTTTACAACCTTCAATCTTATTTGTTTATGGAGTCATAAACTAGAACATCAGAGACATCTGCCATGATAAGTATCATGAACATATAGAGACTATATTAAATGATGGTTACTCTGGGGTTAAAAGATTGGTTTAATCCATTGACATCATTTGGAAGGAATTTATAGTGTAATACAATCAAAAACATTAATATCAAAATATTAAATGTAAAAATAATAACAACCAACTTTACTTTCAACCAGTAATTTCTGGATTAAATGTAAGAGATGTCTCATAACTGTAACCAGTTGTATATAATAAAATATTCTAATGTTTTGTCTACTTAACATGTTGACTGTGTAGCTCAAGAGTTGACAGCGAGTGCTGTTGACTAGCTGTCTTCTTTCTAGACTATCACTGTCAAATTATGGATGGATAGTATAGATAGCCCTCTTGTGGCTGTATGTGAAATTCAAAAGGAACAAAACTTGATAAAAGAACTACATATTTATGAAGGGAGTTTATATGTGGGGGTCTTGGTATTTATTTAACTTAAATATAGATCTTTTGAACAGGAACTTTAAAGTATTAATGTCTTTTACCAATAAATACAGGGATTGACCAGTAATACACCCCCACAGCTGAGAGAACAACCATGTTCTGTGACAAGGATTCCAGCCCACAGATTGTGAGTCAAACACCCTTACCACCAGCCCATCAAGTGTGGGAAACATTCCTTCTACAACAAACAGTGTAAACATTTGTTTCAGCATGAAAATTAAGAAACAGGGGGTTCACAACCACCAAAGTCCTAGAACCCTGAGGGTGTAAATATCGAGTAAAATCAATCATCACAACACATTTTCTACACAAGTTCAAATATTAATCTATACAAACCATTCCTCACAAAGTTTATATATAAAGTACTACAATGATAATAGAAACTGCCTAGTTAGAAAGTTTCTGTTTCATTTTATAGTAACAATGACTCTTCTCTACATGTATTTCCACTAACTTCATTTTAACGTATTGTTATGACAGCAGAAGTCGCGTGATGCTGGGAGCATGCGTGCTGGATTTTCTTGAATTATCGGGGAACCCTGCGAATGTCCGAGTGTTTGCTAAACACCCTCTTTTTTAGTATATAAGCATGGCAAAGATAGCCAGCGATATAGATAGATACATAGAGATAGATAATTAAAGAGACGAACAGTAGTGACAGTAAGTAAAGTGTGTGAATCACTGTGATTTATAGCATGTATTATAAAAGTAGTTAAGTTGAGAAATGTAAAGATTGTTAAATTACTGTGTACTATCAAGAAAGAATAAACTGGTTTAACCAAGAAAGGACTTGTATCGCTGAAGTTTCTCAAAAAGAATTTCTACCGGAAATTAATAAACAAGTAGATATGTAACAAATTGGTGTCAGAGAGTGGGATGGAAAAAAAAAAGATGGAAATGAGAAGTGGCAAATCAAACTACGACTTAGCAGATTTGATGGCAGCAAAAGAAACAAGAAGAACGAGAAAAGAAACAAGAAGAGAGATTACAGCAGTTGTTGGAGGAAAAAGAAAAGAAACAAGAAGAATAAGAAAAGAAATAAGAAAAGAGACAACAGCAGTGACAAGAAAACCTGCAACAGTGGCAGCTCAAACAGCAAAATAAACAAGAGAGATTACAGCAG